TTTGTGTTTCCCATTGAAGATGACGTCACGGCTCCGCCTACACTGCGTTACTATAGTTACTGCCCCAGCTACTAAACTGTAATGGAAACGCAGCATAAAGTGAGCCTGTTCTACCAAGGCCTAACTATACCGTACTAAGCCGTGCGAGGCCCTGCAGTGGAAATGCGCCAAGACTCTTTCTATTATCTTGTATCCAATGATATTTAAATCAAGAGTAAAGGTTTTTTTTATAATTCTGTGTTCAACCTGCATAAACTCCTGTGTAAACAGACTAAGATCTTTGATTGGCTCTAAATTCCCCGATTCGTTTTTCTCAATGTAGACTGGTACACAACCTTATTTCAGAATCAGAATACCTTTATTAGTCCCACGGAGGGGACATTTGCGTAGTTACAGCAGGAAAAAGAGCCACAGACAGCTTAATGTTACATATGTTAAATATGTGACATACATTTTTTTTTTTTAAGTGCTAAGTTATGATTTAATAAAAAATATAATTAAAAATTAAAAAGTTACATCATTTAAAAAAATACACATGCTGTAACAGTTCTTAGGATTTACCAGCCAGGTATATATTACACAGTTATTAAAGGCATCTATATATATTGCACATCTAGCACATATTGCACATAGGTGGTTGGTATTTATCAGCAGCAAGTTACAGCAGCCTGTCGCTGAAGGAGCTGCACAGTGAGGACAGGGTGTCCTGGAGGGGGTGGGACACATTGTCCAGCAGGGAGGACAGCTTGGCTGCCATTTGACCCGAGATCAAACAAAAAAAAACTATAAAGAGGTTATCTATTACTTTTTAGATAGCGATTGTTGTTATTGGTTGTTTATTCTGACGTTAGACTAAAGATTATTTTTTCAATTAAAACATCATCCCCATTGAAGCCTTTATATTATCTCCTATTTTGATAATATCAAATCAAAGGATAAAAGATATTAACAAAATAATATTTCTAATTAATTTTAATGTGAGAAAAGGTGATCTGGCAGACCTTTTCCCTTCCTGTTTCATTCAATAAATATAAACTTAGAAAATATCATTCTTATTCTCTTTAATTTAAAACTCCTCCGGGCTGCTGTTATTTACATTCTAGGTAGTAAATTGGTAAAAGCTTTCCCAAATGTCTCTGATGTCCATACCAACTCCTGGTTTTGACATCTGTCTATCCCTCATCACTCCCCTCTTCTCCTCCCTTCCTTTCCTCCCTCCCTTCCTTTCCTCCCTTCCTTTCACCCACACATTTGTTTATATCGCTATAGAGTTTGCAAACAGTGTCAGGTCTTCGCTGACAGACAGCAATCCTAAGTTACGCTGGGACTTCTTCGTTCCACCAGGTAAACTCTTCATTCATCGGTGGAGCTCATGTTTCCGTCCCACGGGGTTTCCCTGCCGTTTCTTCAAGGGCTAGACAAAGCCCTCCAGTCCCATCTCTTGTTCATCACTCATTTCCAGTCTGTGGATGATCAGTGATGTGCTCTTCCACTCATGTGTTTGAAAGAATATGGTGTACAAATCCTCAAGTTCTTATTTATGATTGTGTATTTAAGTGTGTCATCATGTTGAATACAAATTAAACAGGTGACCTACTACAATTAGTAAGAATCATCATGGGTGACCTACCTATCTTTTCACTTCTATGTTTGCCTCATTGGCTTGGCATGACTATGTTTTCCACCCAAAGCTACATAAGGTCTACCTGTATAACTAGCTGATCCCATTCAAACATAAAGCCCAGATACATGCAGACATGTAGAGATGTATTTCTTCATCTACCTATGGGCTGGATTAAGATGCAATGTGTTGCTTTTGGTGGACTGCTCTCTTTATGTATTTTCTCTCTTCAGCATCTTAACTCCCTGGCATGTTGTCATTCACCTAAGTATTAGACGCATCTAAAGGCATCGTGTGATCCCCTGTTTCAAGACTTAATTTATTAAATGTATT